GTAAGTCTGTATCTGACGCTCAAGTGGGGAATCCCACGCTCGAGCGAACCTGTTTGTATTTCAGTCCGAATTTTAACTTTTTGGATCACTTTTTCGGTACCTCTTCTCTCTCTAACTTTTCAAAACCTCCATTGGAGAGTTCCTCACTCTAAAACTTCAACTTCTCTCTAGGGTTTGATCTAGTTTGAGTGATCTTCTACCTTAGTGTCTTTATAAAAAGTGTAGATCTTGGCTTGGGCTACATTTCCATCCGAAAATCTTGGGTTTTGGAGCATTTCGAAATTTTCATCTTCTCCATTTGGTCTCTCCATTTGAGGTAGGGATAACTACTCATTTTTATGATCTTTAACATAGATGTTGGGCATTTTGTATAAATAGTTTGATTTGAGAAGTTAGGGTTTGAGATTTGAAATATTGAAAGAGGGGTTTTGTTCCTCTTTAACTATATATGTGTATATGGGTCTTAACATGAGGTTGTGAATGTTTATTAATGATATTTGAACCATTGGGTCAATATTGGAAAAGAAATGAAAAAATGTCATATTTGGGTTTTATTGGGTCATTAGTGTAATTAATGACTTTTATTGTGAAATGTGAAATTGAGATGGAAATGATGAAATTGGCTTAAGATGAGATTGAATGGTAGAGTTGGATTTATTAATCGCTCATTTTTGAAAATGTTGATAATTTATCTGTTTATGCATTTATTATCTGTTTATAAATAATTGCTTTGGGCTATCAGTAGAGGATAGTCTTGATTGTTGTAGACACTGCATGATGATTAGGTGAATTAAAACTAATCGATTGAATATGTCATTGAATATGACGGTTGAAACAATACATCGAATATGTGTATTGATTGATCATGTATATTATAGCGATTCCGGTATTTCCTGTTGTTGTTTAACTGTAATCCGGACTCGGTTCCGTAGATTTGTTGTTGTCTTATCCTCTTTTCTATCCCTTACTCTTTGTTTTAGAGTTTTGGGTTGTGTTGGGCAAGTCGGGAATAAGTTGGTTGTGTTTTAAAACTTAGAATTTTGCCCAGGTTTTGGTCTCTCCGCTCGAGCGGCGCTTTGACGCTCAAGCGGGCTTTTGTTGTTGCCTTTCCGCTCGAGCGGTATTTTGGACGCTCGAGCGTAGATTTCCTTCTCTCAGCATTTTGGTTGTCTGCAGAAAATTCTGGGAGGGTGCATCCGGCGCTCGAGCGGATCTTTGGACGCTCGAGCGTGAACCTGTGTCTGACGCTCGAGCGGGGTGTTGTACGCTTGAGCGGACATGTTTTATATCAGTCCGTGAAATCACTTTTTGAATCACTTTTCACTTTTCTTTTCTCTCTCTTACTTTCCCAAAACCAATTTTTGAGAGCTCCTCACTCTAAAACCTAACTTCTCTCTAGGGCTTGATCTAGTAAGAGTGTTTTCCTCACCTTGGGCCTTTGTAAGAAGTGTGTTGATCGTCGAGGGCTTCGTTTTGATCCAAGAAATTTAGGATTTGGAGCACTTCCGAGTTTTGCTCTTCTTTTCCTTGGGTTCTACATTTGAGGTAGGGATTTCCTTGTTCTTTTTCAATACTTCGTCTATAGATAGACATGTGGTAGTTTTGTATTGCATGAAAATCATATCCATGTTGGATTTGTTTGAAATCATGAGAAGGAACCTAGGGTTGGTTGTTTGAAAATAGTTATTTTATCATTGATGGTTGTTTTGGGCTAATTGGAGTGTAAATTAGCATGTTATAGTTGAAAGAAGAAAAGGCCCTAAATTATATTTTGATTTGGTAAATTAAAATGGAGGGTAGTTAACCTATGTTGTAAATCTCTATTGTTAATGTAAGTTATGGCTTTATTATCACCGGAATTGGTTTTGTGGAAACAAAAGGGATGGAGTTGGTTTTGTGAAAACAAAAGGAAATGGAATTTGTTTTGTGAAATGAGAAAAGTATCTTTGACATAAGTATGAAAATTGGATTGTTGTTTCTTGAGTGTTAAATACACACACGTGGGGGTTGTATCTTTAACTAATGTGTTAGTGTTGTTATTGGGTTTGTGGCCTCATAGTAATTAAGTCTTTAATAGATGTACTAAATACTTACATCTAGAGGTTTTGTCCTTGGTCATCGGTGGAGGATGACATGATTGTGTTGAATTGTCGTGTATGCATTATACCATTGTTGATTGAACATTGTATGTGAGGAAGTGCTGAGATACATTATATATGTATACTTGCTTGGGGGGAATTAATTATGTGTTCATATACTTTAACACATTGCTTGTATCTCGATGGTTTATGTATATGTGTTATGCTTGTTAGTTATGCCATGTTGTATTTTGGTTGGTGGTGTTATACTTTGCGCTAAAAATCAAAGGTACCGTGACCTTCCAGCTAGCGCCTGGAGAACTGAATGCGCTGAGAATCTAAGGTACCACACCCTTCCAGCTAGCGCCTGGTAAACTGGTATATTGTTGTGAGAGGTGTATCTTTGGCTTACTACGCACATAGCTGGTAGAGCAAAGTTTTGTTGTTGTTGTTCCATTGTATCTGAGGATATCATGAATTTGGTTGGTTATAGTTTCGAAGGGCCAAGTTACCTCATTGGTTGATTATATACATGTTAGTGAGTTGTTGTCTCCTTTTTTATAAAGGTATGTAGGTATAGTTATGACTGTATTGGAAACGAACCAAAATATCAATTTGTCATTTGGAAAACGGAAGAGTGAGATCATTTCCTAAGTAATTGTTAATGTTATGAAGGATTGGAGTTAATGAAAGAAAAAGGAAAGATGAATCGCTTATAGCGTTGAATGAAATGGCTGTTTTCGAGAAAGTTCATACTTATGTATATTTTGTATAAACTGTCACATTACTACTCCAGTATGAGATTGGGCATTCATGATCATAGCTATCTGTAAGTTGTTATTGTTGAGGGCCATGTTGAGATCCCTACTGGACTATGTGTTCATCCCACGTTGTTGAATCTTTTTCAGGTGTTGAGCTGAATGTGCTGCAAGATTTGGATCTTCTTATTTGTTGGCCACGGGGCCTCTCTTGTATTGGCGGAACGCCATATGTGTAAAAAGGTTGCACCCTTCTTCTTGATTTGTTAATGATGTAAGCCCAAGGGCAATTTATTTATTATACTCATGTTGTATTTACTTGCATACGAATGAGAGCAATGTTATTCACTTCTACGAGTTGAATATACGAGTTTATTTTCGCATGTTATCTCTGAAATAGAAGTAAGTAAATGAAATTGGTAATACTTCGAGTAATAAAAAGTGGGGCGTGACATATATGATAATTGTTTATATACATTGTATTGTGTGAGAGGAGATAGAGAATGCACTCCATGGTTTGGGAGGAGATAGGGGATGGACTCCATTGATATAGCAAATATGTGTATCTATTGTGAAGTATGGAAGTGTTTTAATATGATATTGATACAGCGAATATGTGTATCTAATGTGAAATGGAAGTGTTGTTGATATAAGTTGTGATCTCATTTAATTGTTTGGCCAGGTTTTAAGCCATGTTTATGAAATTGAAAATTGATTAAGTAAAGGAAAGTAAAATGAAACATGGACATATTGGCCATGAAAGTAAATTGTGCTGTAAGTTGGTTGGCCAGTGTTAACATTTATCGAATGCACATGTTTTAGTTATTGCTCATATTATGTTTAGCATATCTCTACTGGGCGTTGCCTCACCCTATATGGGACATTATTTTCAGGTGCAGGTGATATGCCGCCTCCACGGTCTTAGCTTGGGAGGTTGTGGAAGTTGAAGGCTTATCTTTTTGTGATTATCCTTTTGTATTACATGTATATCAAGCCATGGGCTTATTTTGTGTAAAGAGTTAGAACTCTACTTTTGTTGAACCCAAGTGTTGACTTGGAAAGTTGTAAGCCTATAGGGCATTTACTTTTATTGTCAACATGTAATATTTCTTGTAAAAATACTCTGATGTTGGTAATATGATATCTCTTTTTGTATCATGAATGTGTGATTATGGGTTTATTTTGAGGGCGTTACAATTTGAATTTTTAAATTTCTGCACAGGTCCTCACTTAATTAAAAACTATATTATTCAATCTTTAAACATTTTTAAGCTCGACTCAAGTTGTTTGGGTTGAACTCACCTAAGTTTGCAATTCTAACAAGGGGTTAAAAGTTACATGATTAAATTTGTGACAAATTAAAAAATAATAAATAAATTGTAATAAAATTATGGGATATTGTAAATTTCAATCTTCTTTTTTTTTTTTTTTTTGCATACAAAAATTTAACTATTTATATTATTTTGTATAAAATAGATTATTAATTTTTTTGCATGGCGTGCATAGCACGGGTTACCACTACTTTAATGAATTTTAAAATATTTTTTTCACAAAAATTATAATTTTTATGTGTATCTATGTTAGATGTATCTAAAAATTGCTTAAAATATTAAAAAAATCAGTAAAAACACAAAATAAATTAGAAAACAAAAAAATAAAATTTTTTGCAAAACTAAAAATAAGCAAAGTGAATATTTTTAAAGTATAATAATCATACTACAAAAAAAATAATAATAATATTAATGCTTAGGAGCACTAAATTAGGAGGAGCACTAATGAGCTGACTCTCCCATTGATGTGATGGTTGTCTCTGTTTGTTTTTCTTCTTCTTTTTTAGTTCATTAGAGTTGTTAGGACTTATTTTTTTAGTGATCTCAATCAATTCTGCAAAAAAAAATTAAATATCATAAAAAGAACTATTATTTTAAAAAAGAGGGAGTATAATTTTTAGAATAAACATTCTTTAATTTTGTAAGTAAATGTAATATCACCATACACTATTATTATTCAATTAATGCAATTTTTTATTTTTATTTTTATTTTTATTTAAATGACTTACTCTGGCAGTCAATGAACGGCTCAGATCAGCTCGATGAATCCGATACCACCTAAGCTTACAGCAGGCCAAATGGTGACATCTGATCGTACCAGATCACCGCCGAACACACACACAACGAGATCGCATCAAAGGCTGACCCGAATCGGATCCATCAAAATCGGATGAGTCTCCATGTTAATTAGCATACACCACCAGCGAAACGAAAATGGATCAAAACTTTTTCCCATCCATTTCAAATTTTCTACTTTACCAAACGCTTTACACAGATGCTCTCCCATGCTTGTCGTTTTTCTTGTTCTCTGCAACTCTGTATCGTGCAATTCCACTGAATCAACAACATACTCTTGAATTGTTTCCCCATATTTTCGAAATTTCTGGAACCCTATTTTCTTGGGAGGAAAAGTTGAAGAAAATTGCGGAAACTGGGTGTGAGATCGAGAGAGAATGAGAATGGGTTCAGAATCGAACTCATCAGCAACAGCATCGTCGTCTCCGAGTGGGAAGCGGAGTAGAGATCCAGAAGATGAGGTTTATCTCGACAATCTCCATTCTCACAAGCGTTATCTTAGCGAGGTCCATCTCTCTCTATCTCTCAATCTGCGCCCTCTTCGTTTAGAAATGATGAATTGTTGAGACATTTATTATCCTTTTTTTAATGCTTTCGATAATTAGGTTAGGTTATGTTGATGAATTTCCTGATTATTTTGATAGATTATTTTGAATTTCTTGATTTTTTGTTGTTGCGAATTTGGGAAATTCATTCCATTTTGGGGGTCTTTAAAAGTTGGTTGGTTGTGCAGATAATGGCATCGAGTTTGAATGGATTAACAGTTGGTGATTCCATCCCTGACAATCTCATGGAATCTCCGGCTAGGCCAGACAACTTGTTTTATCTCAGGTGAGATTTTGGAAAGACTTTATCATATAGCTTATAAATCTTAAGTTGTTAGGGCTGCAAACAAATGGAGTGGAGCTGAGTAGCAGGTTAAGCTTGGCTTGAAAATTTAACAGGTTTTAAAATGTGGTCAAGCTTGATTTGTTGATATAACTAGCCAATCTTGAATGAATTTTTAACAAGAAGATCATGAGTTAAGCTCAAGTATCTTCATTTTTTATAGTTCCTATCTAGCTGAATAGGTTGTTTAAGTTTGGTTTAAATCTATTTGGTTAAGTTTTCAAAACCTAGTTTGGTAAAATAAAATAAAATAAACAGAAACAAAAAAACTCATTATTTTCATATGGTTTTCTATTTTTGGAAGACGAAAGTAATTTTAGAAAATTCAAAAAAAAAAAAAAGAACTGGTGTTTATTCTTGGCTAAATAGTTATAAATTTTTTGAAAAAATTTCAAAAACGAACTTTGAAAACTCAACCAAACAGAGCAAGTTTGATTTGTCTACATAACAAACTGATCTCAAACAAGTGTTTAACAAACCGAACACGAGTCTAGCTCGATTAGCTTGGTTTGGTCACCCCCTCCCAGAGAAAAAAAAACCACACACACACGTGTTAGTGATTGTCATTGTCAACCATATTCTCTAGTGAGGAGAAATTTAGGCCCTTCTGGTCTTGTGCAAATTTTTTTTCAGAAACATTGAGGCCTTGTTTGGTTTGTTTTTCAAAAAAAAATTTGGAAAAAATTTTCTACAAACAAATTTTCAAAAGTAATCGAAGCAAACAAATTTTTTCAAAAAAAATCTCAAAATTTTGTTTGGTTACCTAATTTTCAAAATTACTCTCTCTCTCTCATGCACATCAAATCAATCACTTTTTTTTAAAACTCTCTTCCCAAAATAATTTTCCAAAACTATTTCTGAAAAAAAAAAGCAAACCAAACAAGTTTTCGTACTTTTTATCTCAAAAATTACTCTACAAACACACCCCAAATTCTTTGTAGGATCATATGTTAACTACTTCTAAGTCATACCTCTTGTTGTTATTCATATCTGTTTTTCTTTTTGTTGTCTAATAGAATGTAGCATTGCAATGAATGAATGACCTCTAGACATCTTTGGTCTTATAAAGATTGAAGGTGTTTGGGCCGTTAGTTTTAAGCCATAGTCCAATCAACTACTTTGTTGATTCAAAACCACTTTTAAAGTGGCATTTTTGGAGTTAACATCAAATTCTTTGTAGAATCATATGTTAACTACTTCTAAGTCATACCTCTTGTTGTTATTCATATCTGTTTTTCTTTTTGTTGTCTAATAGAATGTAGCATTGCAATGAATGAATGACCTCTAGACATCTTTGGTCTTATAAAGATTGAAGGCGTTTGGGCCGTTAGTTTTAAGCCATAGTCCAATCAACTACTTTGTTGATTCAAAACCACTTTTAAAGGGGCATTTTTGGAGTTCCATGGCCCTAGAACATAGCAAACTTCAAGGGGCAAAGTGTTCGTTTGTATGCTTTATTCTTTTCTGGTGTTGGCTTACTGTAGTTGAACCTTTGCAATTATTACTGGTGCCTTGCTCTGCATTGAGTAAAGTTGTAAGATGACGCATTGTTGGTATTTTATAACAATGAAAAACAATCACCTCTCTTTGGCCATGCAGATGAGTTGTCTTTGACTTTCAAATCCTTATTTTCTAGTCTAGATCATAATTATAACCTAAATACTCTTGTTGTGTAACTTGTGCTCATCGGGGATAAGGGGTGCTCCTCAAATTAGCTCATGTTTTGTGCTTTAGGCTAGCCTTCTGTTTAATTTTTTAAGAGGAGAAATTGAACTGTTATAAGTTATAACCTAAATGCTCTTGTTCTGTACATGGGGGATGTGGGGTGCTCCTCGAATTAGTTCATATTTTGTGCTTTAGGTTACCTCTTGTCTAATTTTTTATGAGGAGAAGTTGAACCGTCACCCCACTGAGAGTACAAGATACAAGCTACTGTGTCACCACTTGCAAAAATCTTGCTCAATATACTTTTCAACACTATAAATTAGGTAAGAACCACGGAGCTCGAATCCTTTGTCCCTCAAAAGTGCATGTCCTGCTATCCATGCACTCATATGCGCACCATCTTGCATTTAATTAATTTTTGATTTAAATAAAATCATATCGTGCAACTGTAAGTGCATGGCAGTTGGGACTCTGGGGGATAGGGACTTTTGGGGACAAAAGGATCCCGTCCTAGAACAAATATGTTCTGGAAGACCTTGTAGGTATTATGAATAATAAAAAATAAATAAATAAATAATATCAGGAATATGAATAATGTACTTATATAAATACCTTTTGATATATCCGTACCGGTAAATAATTTATTATGCATATACACTTGAATGCATTTATTTTCTGTATACACCCTCTGGGGACATCTTGATTTCTAGCATTTTTAGGATTATTAGGAATGCTTTTATTGGTCTTGGTCTTGGTCTTGGTCTTGCTCCATGTTATTTTCACTCCTGTAGAAATTCTCAAATGGATGGATCCTATGGAACTTTGGTTTGTTGTACGTTTTTTTTTTTTTTGAACTGGTTGGTTTGTTGTACCTTGAACATGTCTTTTTAAAGTATAAACTTGTTTCTCTTATCTAATTCTTTCTTTGAAAATACTTGATCTCTTTGTTTTCGCTCCTTTATGTTTCCAGGGATGAGATGTCCATACAATATTCTCCAATGTCAGAAGACTCTGATGACTTGAGATACTGCGAAACTCCAATACACACTTGTTCATCCCAACCTGACAGCCTACCAACTAGTCCTGTCTCTCCATACAGGTATCAAAGACCCCTGAGTGGATTCTATTCTGCTCCCCCAACCACATCGAACCCTTCACCCACCATCACCTCCTCACAAACTCGTCAGCGAGGCTCTGATTCCGAGGGCCGGTTTCCATCATCACCTAGTGATATATGCCACTCAGCAGATTTGAGGAGGGCTGCACTCTTGCGGTCGGTGCAGATGAGAACTCAACCTCTGGGCCCTTCACCATTTGAATTGCCATGTGGGCCAGGACAAGAGTCGTTTCATAATATAGAAATTGAAGAGCGGCCATGCTCGTACATGAAGGCTTTGGTTGATGAGAGGGACTATCAGATTGAAGAATGTTCTTCGTTTAATATCACCGAGCCTGAATATAATGAAGAAAAGTCTTGCAGGGTGCTGAACGTGAATATGAAAGTGGATGATCCTGCGGATAAAATTCTTTGAACAATGGGTTCGCAAAATTGTGAAATTGTTGGAATTTGTAATAGTTTCGAGAAATTACCTGTCTCAAAAGTGATGGTTTTTCCTGAAAGCTATGGGAGGATGTGGCAATGGGCTGAAAGTGAAAATTTGAAAGAGTTGCTTTTGTTTACTTACTGGGAAAAGGTACACCATATGCTCCCTATCCCTTTCTTGTTGTTGGAGGCCATGATTTTGTTGTATTATGATAATGTTGTGAATTGGTTGATCTTTATCCAATCCAATGGCCTCTGTTTTCCCCCATTCTTCTCCAAATCCTGTGACAAGGTAGGCTGGTTTGAGATTAGCATTTGCAAATATGCACGTATGCGCATAGAACTAACTGTTCTCAAATCATGATGGCAAAAACTAGGAAATCCTCTTTTCCAGTTTTTGGATCTTGAAATGCCGTGCCAAGTGTGAATGTATTTTTTGTCAGAATAGTTTAGTAATTTCTTTAGCCAAACCAAAAGGACATCCTGATTCATCACCCAAGACTATTCAAGATCAGCTTATTCGGCTTCAATAGTCTGTTGTTACACATTGTGTCGATATAAAGATATTACCAGGAAAGAAGTCATTTTCTTCACATGCTATGGAAGAAAAATGTTGCTATGTATGCCGCAGGGATTATCCTTTTCTGTTTTTCTTTTTTGATCAAAGTAGGGATTATCTTGAAGCTTGACTACAATGATGGTTATATATATGTATGTATATATTGTGTATTTGACGCATAAATGCAAGATTCTTGTATGTTTAAAGAAAGCCATGAAAATGCCAATGCCTGTCGTCAGCTTCTCAAATTGTCATCCGTGAGGTAAAACACTAATTCCAATTTCTAGCTAAAGGATAAAATTAATAATTTTAAAGGTAATTTGATTGTTTTATAAAAGGGTGTTACCATTGCACTATTTTTTTTCATTTTAAGATTATAATTTTCAAAATTCAACTGTTTAAAAAAAAGGAAAATAGAGAGTAAATTACATTATTAACTTTCATACACTACTGTGTTTTCTTTTAAATTGTATTTAAATCATGAATTTAAAATAGAAATGAAAAAAGGAAAAGTTGTAAGAGTGTGAATAAAATATAATAATAATAAATTCTTTATTTCTTTTGCCTTCTCTTTTATTTTCCAAACCTATGATCTAAATATAACATTAAAGTTTTAAATTATATAAAATTTTACCCTTCTTTCATTGGTAGTCTAAGTTTGATCTTAAAAAAATAATAATTATCAATGTAAAATATTATTTTTAATTAATCACTTATTTATACAACATTTGTTTTAATTTTAACCAATTCAACTTTATTTAAATAAAAAGTAAGTATAATTACACCAAACCTATAAAATTTATTATATTTTTTTCAAATATCAATGGTGATCATAGTAATTTACCTTTTGAAAATTAGAGGACAACCAGACATATAGCGATCCCGGTTTCTCTTCTTTTGATTGTTGTATTCCGGACTTAGGTTCCATGGAGTTGGTGGTTATACATCTTGTTGTTATCCTTTAATTCCGTATGTTTGAGTTTTAGGATGTGTTGGGCGTATTTCGAACAGGTTGGTTGAGCTTTAGTCCCATTCCTTGTTGCCCAGATTTTTGGTGGTACGCTCGAGTGAGTCCCTTTGCGCTCGAGCGGAGTTTGATTTTTGGTTGTCCGCTCGAGCGGGCCTTATTGCGCTCGAGCAGAGTTTTCACACTCTCAGCATTTCGTGCCTCTGCAAAACTTCTACAGGTGTGTTTTTCACGCTCGAGCGGGTGTCTTGGCGCTCGAGCGGGTAGTTCATTGTCTGTAAAAGTTCTGGAATGGGGGAATCTACGCTCGAGCGGCCTTCCCTTTGCGCTCAAGCGAGTGTGTTTTGCAGTTGTGTCTTGACGCTCGAACGGGAATATTTACGCTCGAGCGAGTCCAGTTTTTGTGTCTGACGCTCGAGCGTCCTATTCTTCGCTCGAGCGGGTCATACGTATATCAGATATCAGCTGGGTCTTTTTAGATCATTTTTCAATTTCCACTCTCTCTCTTACTTTTCTGAAAAGCCATTTTTGAGAGCTTCTCTCACTACTTTCTTCCTTCTCTCCTAGGATTGATCTAGTAAGAGTGATTTTCTACCCTTGGGCCTTTGTAAAAAGTGTGTTGATCATTGAGGGCTACATTTTGATCTGAGAATATTGGGATTTGGAGCATTTTCAAGTTCTTCATCATTTCTTTTGGGTTTTATCTCTTGAGATAGGGATTCCTACTCATCTTTATGATCTTTAACCTAAATGTAGAGCTTTTGTATAAATGGTTTGGTTTGGAAAGTTAGGATTTGTAATGTATTATATTGAAAAAGAGGAGTTTTGTCTTTTTGACTCATATATATATATATATATATATATGGGGTCTTAAAAAAGAGATTATTGATGTTGTTCGTAATATTTGAACCTTTGGATCAATATTGAGTTTAAAGGGAAAAATGCCATATTTGGGTCATTAGTGTAATTAATGACATTTGTTATGAAATTGAGTTGGATTTATAAATCGCTCACTTTTGAAAATGTCAATTATATACCCGTTAAGACATTTATTATCTGTTTAGAAATAGCTGCTTTGGGCTATCGGTGGAGGATAGTCTTGATTGTTGTAGACATTGCATGATGATTAAGTGAATTGAAACTAATCAAGTTGTGTATTTGAATACATGGGTACCGAATCCCGCGGATGAAATTTCCATAAAATGGCCATTGAATGTAATTATACATGGGTGCCGAATCCTGCGGACGCAATTTTCGTAAAATGGCAATCCGAATATATCTATACATGGGTGCCGAGTCCCGCGATGAAATATCCGTAAAATGGCCATAAGAAAATGAAAATACGTGGGTGCCGAATCCCGCGGACGCAATTTCCGTAAAATGGCAAGTTGTAGTATTGTTGGCATGAGATGTAGCCTCATTTCAGTTATTTGGTCAGGTTCTGAACCATGTTTATAAGTTGAGTTTTGTTAAGTTGAACATTTATCAAGTGCTAATATTTTAATTATTGCTCATATTTTGTTTAGCATATCTCTACTGGGTGTTGGCTCACCCTATATGGGACATCATTTTCAGGTACAAGTAGCATACCACCTCCAAGGACGTAGCATGCCACCTCCAAGGACGTAGCTTGAGAGGCTTAGTGGCTGGGACATCTTTTGTGATTACATTTTTGTATTATATGTATATCAAGCCAAGGGCTTCTTTTGTGTAGAGTTAGTACTCTCCTTTTGTAACCAAGTGTTGACTTGAAAAGTTGTAAGCCTATAGGGCATTTACTTTTGTTGTCAACATGTAATACATTTTGTAAGAATACTATGATCGTTATAATATGAGAATTCTTTTACTTATCGTGAATTTATGTTATAATAGATTTATTTTTTAGGGCGTTACAAGATAAAACCCATATAAGTAAAATGTGTCACCCTTAATTTCATGCACATAGCCCAAATGATTTTATGCACATAGCTTTGGTCGTTTACCAATGGCATGTCTTTCAACATCTTCAAATATTAATTTCTTCTTACTTAAAAAAAAATCTATGTTTTATTTATTTATAGGTAATACTAGAGATCAAATTTTCTACTAAATAAATAACTAAATGTCTCACATAAGTGTAAGATTCGCAATTTTGTAAGTCTTACATTCATGTGAGACATTTAGTCATTTATTTGATAAAAAAAATTTAGAGCTTATAGCATTTTTCTTTATTTATTTTGGGACAAGTTTATGTGACCTAGAGCTATGCAAAATACCACCCAATCCGCTAAAACCGCACCGATCCGCATCAATTCGCACCACTCTAACCGCTAACCACGGTTTAAACTTTAAAATTTATAATCCATCAACCGAACCGTTCTGCTCCGCTATAATTAATACATATATATTTTTTAATTTCCAATGAAATATCAATGTAAAAATAAGTGAGAGATATTTAAGATGTGAAATTTATTACAAATTAGTAGTTATATATATAAAACATATTATGTAAAATTACTGTGTTATATATCTAAAAAATATTATACAAATTAGTATTATATACTATGTAAATGTATGATAATTAGTTAGAATATTTTTCAATCCGCCAATCCGCCAAAAACTGCCCAAACCGTAATTTATCAATCGGCTAATCTGCCAACCCACTATTCGGTTTATAATTTTACTCTCAAACCGCCCGAACCGCACCGCACACACGCCTAATGTGACCGATGAAAAATCTTACACACAATCAAATGAATGAAAATTTCACAAAGATGCAACTCAACCCGTCATCTAGCAATAGGCGTGGGAATGTGACCTAGAATAAACTGAATTTGAGACATTCATGTACAGAATGTATGTCAATCAGCAGGGAACCAACTAAAGTAACCTTGTCCATGTTCGAAAAATTCAGTTTGGACAATACTCATATTCCTATCTAAAGTCTATTTGCAGATGCTTGGTAAGCAAAATCCGTGTTGCCACAACGAAAATATACACCTAGACTACCAAGTTTTTCACCAACACATAATCAAAGCCATTTGAAGCGCCTTACATTGGATGACACACTTTAACAGTTCAATCAATGAGATGGATATCAGGGGTTTCCTCGAGGTGCAGTATGGCCAAATGCAGACTTTCTAAATCTTCGACATCAATCTTTTTCATTGAGAGGCTCCTTTTCAATTTCTTTAGATGACTGCTGATCTGCAACCCCAACTTGTGTTTAGAATCCTCATTGTTGCTCATCGCTACAGGGGTGCAATCTCTTGAAAGCAAAGAAGCTGACCATCTTCTATCACCTGTGAATGTAGCATTCAACCTAGAAATAAGTAGAAAGAAGACGAGTTACAATCACAAGAAATGCTAAATTTTACACACATAACATGGACAAACCCTCAACCTAGGCCCATCCCATACCCAAGGGAGGGCTAGGCAAGAGATGGGCCTTGAGCCTATATAGCCTGGGCTCGAGACAATTACCCCCAAAGGTGTACAACTTACCCACATAGGGAAAAGTATACAAAACAACAATGATGCAGTAGCAACTGAAACAGTAAACCACATATCCATCCATTTATGATTAAAACATTTTCAACTTGATTATAACAATTAGGCCTTCATTTTAACATATTGCCGCAGCACATGAAGATGCAGCAAGTGCAAATCCTCAATATCTTCCCCTTCCACAACTTCCATATCCCATTAACTTCCAAATTTGACATTCGGTGCCAAATGAGTAGAGGACTAGTAGTAGAATCAGAGCAGAATGAGGCAAGAAACTAATTGAAGTTCAGCCAGATGCCATTCACTACTATGTTTTCTAACAAAATGCAGAAAGGAGCAATTATTGATGGAGGTCTATCCATGAAAGCAAGCAAGACGCTATGAAACCTATATTTTGGTTTAGTGATTCTTACTTTTTAAGTATGCTTTGCAAGTCCAAGTTGTCTTTCACGCTATATAAAGCATCTACTGCATCCTCTTCTGTCCTAGCCAAACCCTCCAATGAACCAAATGACATGCATATTGAGTGTATTGCAGCATCAGCAGTTTCATTACTGATATTCTTAATTCTAATAGTAACTGTCTCTAGGGGATGGGGAGGATGAATTGGAAGATGAAAGCTCTTCACTGTAATCCCACCAGCTGAAACTGCTCTCCTCCTTGACTCTACACTCTTCAAACATTCTCACAACAAAATAATTAAACATCTATATGCATATATATATATATAAGAAAACCTAAATATATTATTATTATTTACCTGGAATTCAACATCGCAACAGTGAAGTCCATTAGGTAGAGTCCTCATGGAAGCTCTGGAGATCTCACCAAATATTGAAATAGCTCCTATTAGCTGGGAAAGCTTGACTATGGATGGCACGTCCTCAATAGTAATAGAGCTTGAATTTGGCAAGTGAGAAGCATTCTTGGTGTTAACAGTATATCTAGAATCATCATTCTGGTTCTGAAGTTTGCGGGGAACAGATGGAGAAGTTTTAACCTGATTAAGAATAATGGTATTCAAACTGGGGCTGTTTTCTGCAGACAAAGACCTCTAAGAAAAAACTTTTTTTGAGGTTCAGTTTTCTGCTTCAGACAAATATTTTACGCTGAAGTAAATCAGAACTCACTCATCATCTTTCAAACAGATTACGACTACAAATATGAACACAGAGAAAGCAAACAAAGTAGCATGCAAAGATGACACGGAAGGAAAACTAGTTAACACATTGCACGTGTACCCCATAAAGCTCACGCTTTTCTGTCATCAGTTTCAGCTGTTTCGCGGCACGCTGCGCTGTAGCTGGGCCCAATTCTGAGAAGTCATCATCATCATCAACGAAACTATGTAATGACCGCTTTAGGCTTTCGATTCCTTGTAATTGAAGCCTGGCCAATGTTCTATTGTGAGGGAGCTAATAGTAAAGAATGTATTTGTTAAGAAAATGAATCCAACAGACAACCTTACTTTCCCCAACGTGATTATAAATTATCAAATTGGCAATGTATTAAGACATGAGACCTCATTAATAACATGCTGACATAAGCTCATCAGGTATCAGTGTAATTTAACACATGAACACGCACACAAAGATATCTAAACTATCATATAAAGTCAGCACATCACTTTGAATCTTGAACCCAGCCAGATTTTTTCCTTTCCAGAAATGACCTGAAGTTCCCAAAAAATTATGTTTGATCTTATTTACTTCAAATTTAATTTAACGGTTGACATGGAAATGTTAAGAACAATTTTTGAAACTATTTAGCTAAACCACTCACATATGAATCTCTTTTTTTTCCCATTCTCGCAGCCCAATGCGGTAACAAACTCTCAGCCACTTAAAACAGCCACTCACTCACCCAGAATGTATTTCCTTCCCTCCCCTAACATCCTTTCCAATTACCCAACTGAATGAAAAATTAAAATCATTCTACAATCATTTGCCCCAATCAAGTGTGTGTGTGTGTGTGAGAGAGAGAGAGAGAGAGAGGGATTATCCCCAAATCCATTCAGGCACTTCGTCCACGTTCGAATTGGCCAGCTGGTTGTGACTACCAAGCCTGACTTCTACTGTGTGCATGTTTTTTTTATATATATTTTTATTAATGATGATAATCTCTAAGTTTTAAATTCTGCAATTAGAAACAACTTGACAACCGAATCTGTATCAGAATAGACACCCCAGTTCAAAATGGGTGTGGAGTGGGTAGGTCGAAAGGAAACTTGGTCTGAAAAACAAACATATTTTTTCCTTTTCAAAAAAATAAAAAAAATTCCCAAAAGTTTTGACTGATAATTTAATCAGTTAGGCTAAAAAAAATTATTATCAATTTAGCAGAATAAGTTGAAACCTTGAAAGGGTTTAAGTTAAATCCAACCTGAAATTGAACATGAACTAGTATTCCTTTTCCTCATGTAAAAATGTGGATGGGTTGGAAAAGTAACACAAATAATAACTCTATATAAGAAAAGCAGAACTACTTTTGAAGATTGAAGAACATAAAAAATAAAATAAAATAAAATAGTTAAAACCCTAATCTAATTTTCTAGGTTCATGAGTGCACTATCAAAACAGACTCAAAACTGAAAAAATAAATAAATAAAATTTGTAGGAACAAACAAACACAAAGGTGTATAGATATATAAATAAATTTGTACCTGTTAGAGTGGCCATCAGTGTTGAGAAAAGTGAGCCATGGTTTCGCTGAAATGGCTTTGGAAATGTGCCTCTGCTGTAGACCTGTGAAGGAAGACCAAAGAGAAGAAGAAGAAGAAGAAGAAGAAGAAGAGAGTTTGGATTTCAAAAAATTGAGGTGAGGAGTGAATGAATTACCAGTGAATAGCGGCGACAGTGAAGCTCCGAGTCTCGACCTCATCTTCTTCGTCGCTGCGAAGCTCGACGCCGCTTCAATGGGCAAAGGACCACTATATTTGGTGGGCCTTATTGAGGCCCAGTGACCTTGTTCTCTTTCAATATGGCTTTTTCCGAAACTTTAGGGAGCGGTGGCCGTCGGCCTAATGACCTGCTCAACCAGATATTTTTAATTATTTTGCTCATAGGTATTTAATATTCAAATTAGGTTTAGGATAAAGAGTTTTGATTTGTAAAAATATTAATTATAATTCTATATTATTTTATTTATGAAATAAAGTAATATATTTTTTTTTTTTCTAAGGCTTAAATTTTCAATCTAAAAAACAAAGCTTAAATTAAAATTTTGTTAAAATTGTATTTATTTTACCATTAAATTTTATTAACGTTTCAAATTTAAATAATAAATAAAAAGATCTAAATAATTGTCACGACCCAAACCCGGCCCTATGGGTTTAGCACCGTAACCGGCCAGTAATCCGAGATTACCGAAGGCCTACAGAACAGTAATACAGTAAAACAGAATACAGGGCCTGGCGGAAGCCAATACAGTAAATAAATAATGTCCATTGAGCTATGACAGTCTGTATGCCAAAAAGATTTTTCATACATTCATACATAAACAGTACAGAACAGTATGCAATATTTACAATCATTCAGATTAGGGACTCAATCCCTACATAACAGTACGGAAACATTCAGTCTATACAGAACAGTAAACCAGTACAGTAAACCAGTACAGAAGGGGTAAGTGTAAAACACCCCTAAGCCTTAACACAATAGGCTCGGAACCTCGCGGTGAGGCACAATGGTTGGCTTGACAAAACAGGAGTAACCCTGACGCTCCTAGCTGCGGTCTGGTGCCTGAACACCTACATATATATATGAGCAGTGAGCTAAAGCCCAGTGAATAACATAATGCGTAAAGAGGTTGAGAATGAATGTCCTTACAGTAATGAAAACAGTTCATTTAAACAGTAGTTCAGTTGTTCAGTCAGTACAGTCATATGCGGTACATCCATTAGCATAACAGTACAGTAAACAGTAGGTCTTAAAAGACCGAGCAGTAATGATGGCCATCAGTCAGTAAACAGTAGTGGTTCCAACAAGGGAACCGACAGAGATTTCTGTCACAGTAACAGTAAACAGTAGGTGCTAAGGATGCCACAATACAGTTCAGAATATAGGACATACATTCGTTCAATTAATAGTAATCAGTTCAGTAAACAGTACAATTCATTTTGTTCAGAAGATATTCGTTTATGAACATATCTTTACACAATCGTTACTCACAGAGTTTGGGCTACAGTATGCTAGAGCGTGTCTCACCAGTCGCCAACCCTACACAGTTAACAGATTGAACACACACTAAGCCACACAGTTGGGAAATAACATAACTTAATCCCTAATTTGCCCGGTGTGTTCTACATCTATATCCTCATTAAGATGTCTAAAACTAGGCCTAGAAATGCCTAGGATGGGATGAGGATGCAAGGATGCGATCAGAAAACAGTTTCAGAATTTTCAGAAAAACAGAGTCCCGCTCGAGCGCTTGTTTCCCCCGCTCGAGCGGTCATGCAACAAAGGTACACGCTCGAGCGTAAACTTTACCGCTCGAGCGTACTGTAAAAGTACTGGATGGGTGAAATATCCGCTCGACGCCCGCTCGAGCTTGAGACATGACTCCGCTCGAGCGCCCAATCCTCCGCTCGAGCGGACTGTAAAACAGTGCAGAGAGATGCTGGATGCTCGGATTCTCCGCTCGAGCGCCAGGTTCCCCGCTCGAGCGGAAGTGCAGAATCTGGGAATTCCATATTGCACCTCCAAGCTCAAACTCAAGTTAAAATGCATCAAAACCAATCCTCTTGGGCTCATTTTCTGGAAGACATTTATAAACACATAGAATAACATGTTTTAAAGCTCAATTTGAGAAATCAAAGCCCAAGGGTGTTTAATTCAAACTCAATTTAAACCATTTTTCAAGCACAAGATGAACATGCAAACATGCATGGATTCAAACCAAATTCAATCTTCAAAGCTTGTTCAAATGAGCTCATTTCTTCATGAACATGATGAATTCATGGAGTATGACCAAAAGATGGACATGCATGTGAGGCATTATGAACTACAACCTCAAAACTTCAAGAATGGCAACATGCATGCAACAATTAAGCTTCAATTCAACCACAATAAACCCAAAACATGACTTAGTTCTATAATGAAGCATGAATCATGCAAGAACTAGCTCAATTTACAAACAAGAGAGTAATTACTCTACCTTAGGTCACCAATGCAAGGCTAGAGGCTCAAATTAGCAATCTACACTTCAATTCCAAGCAAGATCAAGCAAATCTCTCAAGAACAACTCAACTCTCTCTCACTCTTTAACTTGGGTCGGTTGAGGCAAGAAGAGGAGAAGAAAATGTTTGTTTGATCAATACGTGGAGTTTATACAAGGTTCAAGAGATAGTGGTCCACTAAGTGGCGGAACGGTAATTAAATCAAACTATGCAATTAATCGATATTTAATCTAATTTAATCATACCTAATCAATTTTCAGATAATTATACTATAAAATCACATTAATTCTAAGGATCATAGAACACTAATCGGTTTCGGATTCGGCCGCCGATAAGGCCTTCAATTAGCAGTTTAAACATATGAACATGAACAGATAATCATACTGTCAACAGATAAAATGCAATTAACTAACATGTACTCAGTCAATTCGGTTTTCAATTTCAGTCAATCAGTTCAGTACTTATAATCAGTTCAATTATCAGTAATCAATGTTTAACGGTAATTAGTGGTGAGGGTTATTACAGGCATGCAGAGGAACGAACTGATGATGGTGTCTTCAGCAGTTCAATTATCAGTAATCAATGTTTAACGGTAATCAGTGGTGAGGGTTATTACAATAATCATATATATATTTAAAGTAATGTTTTTTTCATACTTAAGTTACACGTTATAAGGGTTTACTTTTTTTTAAAATAGTCATATCAGTATTTATTTTCTTAATTACATATAAATTTCTACATAAACTCAAACATAATTTAAATTATACTAACTTTACCTATTTTATATGGACTCTATTTGACAAATATTTATTTTCCACATATTTTTCATATTAAATTGAGATTATTTACAAACCCAATACTAATTTTTCGTTTCACTTTTTTCTTCTTAATTCTTTCAATGTATTAGGATTTTTTTTTTTAATGTTAAATTGCCTTCTTTTTTTTTCTTCTTATTTTCCCGTGAATTATTCTATGTCCAGTATCAATTCTACATTATTCTATATTATGAATTTGTTGTTTAAATTTTATAGTGATTCGATACATGAAATTATACTTTAATTCTTACATTATCTTATATATAATCACAACTTACAAGAGAAAAAATTTACACAACAATGATACTTTGAGGAACCTCTAAAGTTTAGATTTGCTGTTTGAATTACTTTTTCATTTGTTGAATAGTAAGTTCTTTTATATTTTAACATCGTATTACAAATAATTAATCACTTCACATATTGAGATGTATCTATTGTTTGGACGTTTTCATTTTATTATTTTTTTGGTTTAGATATTATTCTGTGATTCCTTCTTAATTAGTCATTGTTATTTCGTTTAGGAAAAATTACTCATAAGTCCCATATTAGAAAATGTTACTCTATCTAGTCCTGAGTGTTTTTTTATAAACCATTTAGTCCTTTTTTTACATCACAACATTATCATCAAAACAACATCAAACATCATAACATCATGTTAAACAAAATTCAAAACCCACCATTGAACAACATCATCAACATCAACGTCAACGTCAACATCAACATCCGAACCCTTGATTGCCAGATTGGAGAATACTCACCAAGCTCTCTTATTCGCTATGTATAATCCCTCCTACTCCACTCTTCCTATTTCTTCTTCTTCCCCACCCCTAACCCTAGCCCTACTCCTCTCCCTCTCCCTCTCCCTCGCCTCACCTGCCGATCGACCTCTTCCACCACCGCCTCCGCCGCCATGGCCTCCTCCTCCATCCAACGCCGATGACGCCACTGTCTCTCTGTAAACACCACCACCAACCTCACTCTCACCGCCGCCGAAAAAGTGATCGGAGACGACGATCTGCTTAGCCGGATCCTCATACGGCTATCGGCGAAACCTCTATTCCGATTCAAGAATGTTCTGGTAATTTTTCCTGGTTGATGATATGTTTTGATGATGTTGTTTTCTGATGTTTGAATCTGGTTCTGTGATTCTGATGTTTGAATCTGATTCTGTGATTATGAGATAAACATCAGATTCTGTGATTCAAACATTGATTCTACCTCGCAGAATCTGATGTTTGAATAAACTACATCATCAATCTGATGTTTGAATAAACTACATCATTAATCTCTGATGTTTGAATCTGATGTTTGAATCTGATGTTTGAATCACCTTGTGCCGCTGCTTATCATCATCAAAACCCACCGTCAACGGCGGCAAATCCATCACCATCAAAACCAAAAAGAACCAGAAGAAGAATGAGAAGTTCTTCATGGATGGCTCTGAAGCAACATCGTCTTCAACCTCGTCTGCTGAAGAACATCACTGTGTTAATGATATTTTGTTGATGTTGATCTGATTTGATGATGTTTTGATGTTTGAACATGGTCGATGTTGTCGATGTTCGATGTTTGTTGACGTATGTTTTGTTGATGTTTGTTCTGAATGTTCTTGATGTTCTGAATGTTTGAACATGGTCTTCATGTTTTTGAATGTTCGATGTTGATGACGTGCGTGAATGTTTTTTTTTATGATGTTGAGATTTGCTGATGTTTGATATTTGATGTTTGATAAATAATCCTAATGTTTGATGTTTGAAAAGAAAGGAAATCATAAAGAGGCCTATAGTAAGCTTCTTGGAAAATAGGACCTATTAGTCCAACAAAAAACCTTCAGGACTAAATGGGATTTAATTAAGAGTGTTTATTTTACAATCTTATAATTTGATATATACATACATATATATATATATATATATATCATATAAAATCATTATATGATAATCTAATTACAATATATTTATATTTAAAATTTTTAATAAATTTATATAATTTCTATTTCTACATATTTTTATTTTCCAAATGAATATAAAAGAAAATTGAATAATTAAAATTAC